TCTCAGTTTATGACAAAAGAATAACCTGCCCACATTTGGGATGCCACCAGTTTCAATTATTTTGGCCCTCTAAGTTGGAAAGTTTCTTTGGCTTGAAGTCTGTCAGACTTACCAATATGGAAAAGCAGAACATCTCTGTAAAGCCTCATGATCATTTCTCCAATTATATTCTGATTTGTGCATGACTGTTTAGCTGAAGTTAGTTTTTTTCACCTTCTGACTTCCATCAAAATAGTTTGCTATTATTTCCTCACATTTAAGCAGCTATACATTACTAGCCAGCCATGTCTGATCGAAGAAAGAAATTGCATTCCAATTGAGTGGTTTCAATTATTTTTTTTATGGATAACTTGGCGTGTATCACAGCTTGTAGCAATGTTAGTCAGAGGAAAGCTTTTTCTTGGAGTAAGAGGAGGTTTTTTTGCTGTTGCTTTCAGTAGAAGAGGATCTGCATGAAAGAGTCAAAAGTTTAGGGAGATCTTGCTAGAAGGAACTCTGTACCACAGAATGCCTCATACACCAATATACCTCCACCTGTTTCCAGTTACAAACTGGAGTTTGCTGTTCGTGACTCTCCAAAGCCTTCCCACCGCCAACAGCTGCTAGAAGCCTTAATCCAGGTAATCGAGGTCTTCATCAATCCCTAGCCAAAGTATGTAATTTACTATGGAAACTAGGATTTCCCTTTACTTTTGTAATGATCCCAGTTCTGCACCTCAAAAGTGAATTTCAGTCTACCCTCTTAAATCCAAGAAAATTCTTAATTCTGAGAGAATGAAGTTTGTTTAACTTTTATCATTCCAGATAACTATGTTTTGAGGAGATTTCCAATGAAACTGCAACACTAATGCTTTTTGACAAAGCTTCATGCTAGTATTGATTTTCAAGGCCAAGAAAAAATAGGATGACTTAAAACAACATTCACTGTTGAGGATACAGTTCTCCAATAGTAAAAATACTGAAGGAGTAGAAATGAGCACCAGTGATGTGTTGACTTCCCAACTAATGGCTAGCATTTATAAGGGTGGGAATTCAAGTTCTAGTAAGATTATTTATTAACAGCCACAGTAAACTCCCTTTCAGAGAGAGGGGTTTTCCAGGAGCAGAGCTGCAGAAACTTCACACAGCTGGGAGAAGACCAAGTTTCTCAGGTCAAGATGCCCATTTTGTTGCCCTATGACAATTAATGACATGGAGTTTTATCCCTGCAATATTTTTTTGAGAAGCATAGGTGTGTGGGGAAGAAATCTTTCAATACACATTAAAAGATGCATCTAAGAAAAAGGTCATTCACTGACTGAAAAAATACCGGAACAGTGAACCACACATCTACAAAGTCCTGAGCTACTGATGTCATAACTGAGTAATTTACTTTTTCTGTCCAACTGTAGCAGTTCAGTGAAGCCATGCTAATTCAAGGACCAAAGACCTTGAGAACCAAGTGAAGTCTCCCATTGACTTCAAAGTCAATAGGTCAAGACAAGTCCCTACTATCCCATGACCTACAAATTTTGCCAAATGCAGAGTTTCCTGGATGCCTCTGAGTGCTGTTTGCTATTTTAGTGTAGCTATTTAACACTAACACTAGTGGGGCTTAAAATCTTGAGTTGCATTTTCATTTTTCTTCTGAAGTTTGGTTTGTTTTGCATTTTTTAGTAAGCTTGGAAAATTCCGCACCCAACTTCATACAAAATTATAGCCATAGCTACTAACCTCACATGTGTTTGCTAACCTCATCACTTGCTTTCTAGTCTTTGCACCAAGAAAGAAAAGTTCCCAGAACAGGTAACACAGTAAATGCATGTATCAAAAGACAAATCTTTAACAAAATAAATAGTATTTTCACTTTTAACCTAAAAACCTGAACAGAAAGCCTTGTAATTTTGACATCATTGATTAGCCTCTAGTCAGTCCAACTGCTTTTGTATTTCTACCATAATTTCCTCGTATTAGTTAAAAACATTAGCTCAGAAACAGCAATATCATTAGTGCTTCTCTTAACTGGTATGTCTAACTAATATTAATTAACCCATAATATATTTATAGCAAAATCAAGACAAAGCAGGGAGGTGTCACACACACTTTTATGTTCTCTTTAAATATCTTAAGTTCCTTAATAATTTAATTCACTTGTACTAATAACTTACTATTATAATAGCAACTCTTTGCATTACATTGGCACTAAGTAATGCAGAATTGGTATTTCTGCACCATATTCAGCAAATACAGCAATGGGGCTAGAAGTCTCCCAGATGTTCTCCTTCCCTTTCAGGCCCTGTAGAATGATCCTACAAACTATGACTCATACAGATTTATGCACACAGCCACTGCAATCAATGTTCTTCTCACCAGCCTCCTATTTGTGGCAAGAAAGTTGTTAGTTTTTTATTCCAATAGTAATATAGCTTTTCCAGGGAGGAACTTTCACAATGTTTGGTCAAGTCATTCACATTTGAGACCTAAGTAAAATTAAATACCTATCTTGAAGTCCAGAAGTTCCAAGAACACTTCAGTGATATGAAAAACACTCAGCATTCATAATCTCGTATTTCAAGCCTTTTTGTAATAGGGCTGATAGTATATAACAAGCACATGGTGATGGTTCTTAGTCTGTGGGGCATTTGCCTGGGTTGTTTTCTTTGTGTTAGAAAAGTCACAAATCCAGGCTGCGAACACCCATCCTGAATGATACAAGCCTTAAAAAAAAAGGTTGCACTTGTTAAATCTATTTAAACTGCCTTATCACAAATGCTAAATACCTGTATATAATTAATTATACTAGATGAACTTCTACCTCAGTAAGTCTTAGCTAATAGCCTTGCATTATACTTGTTTAAACATTTATGAATGAAACCAGTGCACTTTACTGGACGCTGAATTATGATCCTTTTCAGAAATTATCTTTTTAAAACAAAAGCTATAATTGAAGCTTAAGAGGAAAATCATGTAATGGAAATGTCCTTCATTCTCTTTTAATTAGCAGCACTCTGTGTAAATACAAGTTGAGCTACTCATTTCCTCAAGACATCTCATACTTTGAGAGGCATTATCTTCCAGATAATCTCTATAGTAAAGTGCTCTGACTTGTGCCACTTCAGACCTCTTCTATCCTATTGTCTTCCCAATTAGTTCATAGTGCTTATTCTTTGCACATGCACACTTTTACATCCATACAAACTCCAGAAGGCTGGTTATTATAGTCTACAGCTAGCATTTGCAGTATCAGGGTGAAAGGTGTACAAGACCAGAAACACAACTTCCAAATAAACTCTATTCAAACCTACCCAGCACATCCAGAGAACTGCTGTACATGAGTATTGCTGCCTTTGGTCAAGAACACACTTTGCGTATTTTGCATTTTCAACCTTAGTTGCACAAACAAAAAACCAAACCAAACCAAAGACTCCCGAGTCAAACAGGCATAACCGTAGCATTAAGCAGTAGCATTCTTCTTTTACCCTTCAGCTAGCAAATGTTTATGGGTCTTTCACACGTATACACGAGCAGTCCTGTAGATTTGAGGCAGCGAAGTTAGGTACCTACATAAACATATATACAAGCAAGTTCTCATTAGTCAGACTGAAGGAATTTCTATTTATTCAAAGAGTTTATGATAAACAAAAAAAATGTAAATTCATACCAGTTACTAAAAAACAATTGAGTGTAATAAGCTTTTCAATGTGTTGAAATTTTACTTTCAAATATATATATTTTTAGACAGTCAATGAAAAAAGAACCTTCATTTTAGCACCTAATTCAATTCAGTCCATATTCTGCATTGCACAATGCAGTACAACTCTGTAAGGACAGTACCCAACCACTGTACATCATTCAGCTTGCAGTACTATAGATATACTGAAATAATTTGTTCCTATTATTTAGTCTTTCATTATAACAATATTTCCCAACCAGTTTTGGAGACTGCTGCCCAAACTGCATTTTGGTGAACTAAATTGTTTATTTTTCCTTCATAAGTAGTTAGGTTACTTCTAATTGTTAAATGGGTTTTGGGGTCATAACTGAGTTTTGCTTTGCAGCGTAATGAAAAAAGATGATAAGGTTCTCCTAAGGAAACGAAAACACCTCCTCTCACTACATGACTAACCTTCACATTTTGTAGAAAGCAGAGAGTATCTGCAAAACAAAGCAGTAGTTTTTACTGTACCAGGGAATGTTTTCCTTGACGAAGATTAGAGAAATCGCAACAGATGACCATGCTCCTACCACCTCAGAGCACACTTCTCTATCTCACAGTGTCAGCAGTAAGGGATGAGTACTGCAGTCAAAATTCCAATCAAGTTCCTGCATGTGCCATTTCCTGCATGTGCAACTGTCCTCAGCCTGCTCCTTTTCGCAGGCCCTACACATTGCCCTTTAGGGATAACTATTTTTCCCATTGACTAGTCATAGTGGCTCAGAGTGAAATCCAGGCAGTTTACTTGTGGCCCTTGAAGCTCAGTTTTCTCAGATGCAACAGAAGGAAATATGGCATACATTCAAGTTCAGAAGCTGAAAATGAACAGTTTAACACGGTGAATAAACCTTACAAAACTCTACAAATACAGCATTTCACATATTGATGTAATGCGAAAGTAATCACGACTCTTGCATGAATACCACAGACTGGATAGCATTGTTTTAGACTTTTTAATATTCGGGAGATTAAGGGTGAATTATTCAGCAGTTAAAAAAAACCAAAAAACAATTCCTAGCAATTGAGCAAAACATAACCAGTATCTGTTGCTAGCAAGCATGTGTCAGGTCATTATCATTTGAATAATGACATGTTACTTCTCTAATATGAAATGGCACTTTCAGATGCACATCTAATGCTATCACCTCAGTGACAAGTGTTCTGGACAAAATACAACCCTGTAAAATTTGTAAGTATACCTTAATGAAGATGTTGCTATACATCTCTACAAGATGCATATAGTATGCAAAACATGTTTTGAAGTAAATTCTAGGTTTTTCTAATTTATATAAGGGAAAAGAGAAATTTAGTCCATCTTTCTTTTTTTTCCTTTAGCAGGAGTTTTGAAAGTATGTTCATTTTCAGAGTTTGGTTCCCAGAGTGCATTTCTTACAAATCGAGAAGCAGCTCCTTTATCAAGTTTGGATGCCTTTTTCTTGTCTGCTATTTCTTTGACCTTGTTCATGTATGTTCTTATTCTCTCCTAGAAAAAAAGAAGGAAAAGTATATTTCACACTATTCTCCCAACATTGCTGCTAAAATAAAAATCAATGAGTAGAAGCTCTCCACAATGTATGTTTCTGTAACTGTAATACCTAGAAAAAGAGCATCCTTTCAATACATATATATAGCAGGCTCTTCACAAACTTAAGGCTTCCCCTTTAGCAGATTTTCCATCAGAGGTACTTATCATGCTAATATTTGACATCCACCATCATAGGAACAAAAAGTTGAAGACTGAATCTAATTTACAGTGAGACAAGAATTGTTCTTCCAAGGAAAATTAGAAAACAAAATAATAAGCTCAATTTGGAGTTTGGCCTACATAAAAATGGCAAAATAGTATTTAGATTTTTGAATCTACAGATTTATATCTATAGATTAATTAGACTGACTACTGCCTACAGGGAAAAAAAAAAGGGGAAAAAAAATTCAGCACGTCCAAGCAAAGCCAAAAAGTATCTTAGAAAAAAATCGAAGATGTTACAAGTGTTACATATGTGCCTACACACAAGTTTTGTGGTTAAGATCCTGAAATGGTCAAGGGTGCTTATCAGTGAACCTATTTAAGGCAGTCTGATGTATTTCCAGCTGTACTAGGAGTTCCTTTTATGACCATAAGTAATGAACAAAAAAAAAGCCTCTTTCCACTGCCATTCCATAAAGCAATGGGATGCTTTCTTGCCACCTTAGCCTACCGTAGTCATTTGGTGTCTAGAGCTTTTTTTGGTTTTTTTTGTTTTTTTTTTAAAACAAAGTGTAGCTTGGATTTAGCCCCATCTAAGTTTACCTGCCCATCTTAATCTCATTTAAGTGCCTTCTCATCCTCATCTACTTTCTGCAAAGAAAATTACTTTGAGAGGGTAACTAAACCCTTCTAAAATGGGAATTGCCCTCTGTTAAATGCCTGCTTCTCTTCACTAATTAGCGAGGATACTTACACTAAGTCTGTAAAATACATAAAGTTTTGGCTGACAGATTTCATGTCTATATATTTAACCTAATACACCCTTCAACTCTAGGGCCTATAGGTGTTACTGTAATACAAATAATAGTAACATATATATAAGTATAGTACTCTACCTGATACCTGAATGACCACTGTGGATTAACAGAACATTTATGAATGCTGCTAACTAAATAAGTGTTGATATTATGTAACCCACAAATTTTTCACACAGCCACTGATAGCTTTTTGAATCTGGAACAAAAGTTAAGAGACCTACACATTTCTCTTGGCTACTCTTTCTGTATCAAAAACATAGCTTTAATGAGGAGAGCTTTATAGAGTCTGAAATCACGACAGACTGTAATATTTTTCTGGTGACAGAGATGGCTAATGAGACCAGATGGCAAACCTACATGTGTCAACATGGGAAAAAGGAGCTGACAAATGTCAACGTGACAAAAGAAATTAACTCAGATAGCTTGAATATGAGTTTTATTAACACACTTTCAATCCCCATGTATTCCCTGTATGTACACGAGAAAAGCAATTCTAAAACCAGAACAATTGTGACAGAAAGTCTTTCTTTATTCCCTTTCCAGATGACTAAAAACATCACAATGCTCTTGGACAGAAGGAATGTGTATTCATGCACCTTGATACTTGTAAAAGGAAAAGGGAACTGGGTAAGACTCTAGCCCATGATAATTCACTCATTCTTCAGAGCTTAAAAACAGCTGGAAATTGTGAAGTAAAATACCAACATCAAATACCCATGGCAGAAGAGATAAAATTCATTTTTTTTAGTATCGCTAATTTAACACAATATTCAGATACTATATAATATAGGAGGAACAAGAAGCTGACTGAAAGCTCATGAAATACTAACTGGTTCATTTTCTAATATGATACAATCTAGACTACTGAAAACCTCAAATTAAAAATATAAGTATTCTTTTTATTCAGGCTAGCTTTCCACATTTTTCAGTCCTATATTCTGTTCTGCTGGTTATGCAAGGATTACATTTAAGCTAAGGATTTTATGATTGCCCAGATTTAATATTTTCATTTATACAGGAATTAAACAAGTAGCTATAAGTTTTTATTTCTATTTTTTCTTCAGGCTAAATGATTTGATTTTTTAAGTCAGCAGAATTTTCAGATAAGCCAGCCTTCTATATTGTAGTCATGCATCTAAATGTAATATGAAGACAAAACTAAAAGATTTAGTATAGATTGTAAATACATCACTAATGCAGAATTACTGGACAATACACATACAACTGGAGCCAAAAAAGCTTTTAGCTTTGTTGCTGAACTGGATTCTTTACTGCTGAGAAAATGAACTAATGGAGAACTTGGAAGGGGCAGGGGGGCTCTTTCCCGCCTTTGCAACTAAATCAACCACACTACACTCTTAGAGTCACACAAAAGTAAGAAAAGGCAGCCTCAGAGATTAACATGATTTCAAGTATTTATAAGTAAAATACGCCACACTGAAAGTTTAAATTAAATTATGATCAGACATGAAACATTTTTCCATTTAACAGACACAGGTGAAAAGCTGCTGTGTTCAGAACCCAATTCTCAAACAAAGATGGAGAAAAGGGATGACACCATTCATATTCTAATTTCAGCAGTCTCTACAACTGTGCTTTAAGTAGAAACTAGTTTAGTTTGAAACTAAAAATACAACTTGCTTTATTTAGAGAGCCCAGCCAGGCATATGAACAGTTATATAACACCATCTAGCATATGTGTGCTATTATGGCAACATATCAATTTTAAATATAGCTATAAACATATTTTTACTTTTATGAGTTAACTGTCCTAGGCAAGTAAAATACTGCAGTACCTGTAGTGTAATAATCTTACCAGTTCTTGTTTCACTGGATGTTCCTTTGGATTGATTCCCTGAGTAGCCAAATATACTATAAGAAAAAAATACAGGTTTTTTTGAAACTAAAGGGTGTAACAATTCATTCAATCCATGCAATCAGTCACACAGGAAAACTGCAGTTTCTACATAAAACCATTAATAAGAATTAGAGCTAATGCTATCATTCAGTATTTGACAAACTATTATCATCAAATATTGTAGTGAAAAAAAAATATTCTAACATGGTTAATCTTTCTGTCCTTAAAAGGACAGAAAAGGTTGCCATGAAAAGCCAAAACCATACTCATGCATGTGGAACTCAGCTTCTATAAATATCAATTTTTGATTTGGAGTTTAAACATCATTTGTCCTGTGGATGACAATTATTTGGGTCCTCAGGGTAATTACAAATTTCTACCTATTTAGCTATGAAATATGATTATTTAATATTTGTAGCTGTTTAGAAGGTGTACAAATGACAGTTATAAATACTTTTTCCTCCTGCCACATGCTTACCCCAGAACATTGAATTTAACGCATACACCGAAACCAAATCCATCTTTGCTTGCTCAAGAGGCTCTAACTAGAATGAAAAAAACCAAAATGCACATTTGCACATTTTAAAGCAAGATATGCACAGATTTAGTAATATGCACATTTTATAATTGTGAATGTATGAATAAAAAATACACACTGAATGAGCATATTTTTGCACTGTAAGTTCACTGTGACCACGTCTATGCCTATTTGTGCACCATCACAGAATCATTCTCTCCTCTGCAAGTATCCATGACATTTTCCCAGTCTGATATTAAATGCCAAATTCCCATACTATCAAAAGCACAGAAACATGTTGATGACATATAACTCTTAGACTACTGTTCCCAGTGAGAAATAAGTCCCTACTTTTCCAAAGAAATATAATTCAAAATAGCTGTTGCTATCAAGGAAAATAAAAAAAAAAGACTTAAGATTTCTGAAACTGAAATGTGAATAAAGTACATTACAGATAATCAATGAACATTAATACTACACATGGTAGACTCTGTTCAACGCATGCTGGAATACTTAGGACAGCAAAGCAAAGGAATAATAAAGGTAATGAGGGTTTGTTGTTTTTGTGTTGGGTTTTTTGTTGGTTTGGTTTGTTGGGTTAGTTTTTTGTTTTGTTTTTGTTGTTTTTTTATTTTCCTCTCGGCTGTCAAAGTCAATTTATTTTTTAGTCCTATATGATTTCCAGAAACTCTGATAACATCATTGTTCTAGTTGCTCACTAGTTCTGACATGGGATAATGTCAAAACATCAGCGTTGTCAAGATTGTTTTCTTCATAATTTATTTGTGTTAGAAATCCTCGGAGAATAAAGTTCCCTCATGTGCTGGCTTTTTCTTGCCCTAAAGAAATAAATTACATGTTAGGCTTTAAATGTTAAAAGGTAAAGAGGCTTGTATGAAGTCTTCAGGCAGTATCTTACTCTGTCTTTATGCCCTTAAAAAAACACACATTTTAAAGACTTGTGCTTATAACATAGCTAGAGGAGACAGCTTGGCTTTACAACCACAAGGTTTTGCAAGTCTTGACTTCTAAAATCAGATCAATTCTCACTGCTGTCAATTCACCTTACATCCTTCTGGGTATACCAAATTCCATTTAGTTTGTTGTAAAAACGTCTCAGACAAAAACGTGAATGACCCCTCTGTTACGAAAGAGCGCTCAGCATGCACTTTAAGACTGGCCAGGAATAAGCTAGAATGCGCTCTACAGAAGTAACTGACTGGTAGGATCAGCACTTTTCAGTTTGGAAGAGCATGTATTTCATTGTTTTATTTGTAATACCATCTGGGTATCTTAGAAATGCAAGAACTTCAAATATTAAGTATCAAGGGTAGGAAGTGTCATATTTGTTACTTCTGTGTGCAGTAGCTAGCCTAACAGACACTTCTGTTTCAGTTCAGGTTCCCAGGTAATCTTGCATTAATAGCAAAAAGGTCTCAAAAGGAAAATTATTTACCTTTTGGATAAGCTCACTCCTGGAAACTGACATCATTGTCTTCAGCATCTCATCTACAGAACCAAGAGATTTTTCAAATGCTACAAGATAATCGTGAATTTCAGTGGGGTATTCTTCCGTATTAGTATCATCTTCTGACATTTCCATCTGGAAAGAGGAAACAAAACTAATAATCCTTTTCCTTAAGTCCCTACAGAGTCAAAAGACTGTATTTTATGGTAAAAAGCATTAGCACTCATTAATTAAACACTGTAAGAAATGCCTACTTCTGAAGAGCTCTAGCAGGTGATGTCAATAGTGACACTTAAAAATCTTATGATTTCAGTGATATCTCCTAACTGCTGTGCAAAATGACATGAAAGAGCATTACAAGTGACATGACTGTACCACCTATTATTTTAACAGTCCCAAACCAGTATTTACAGCTTTTATTGTCTGTGAAAGAAATAAATCATTTGCTTGCTTAAAAGAAGTGCTCTAAAAATCACCGTATATGAATAGCTACACCAAGCAACAGGCAGAACACTAAAAGAAACACAAAAGAAACAAAACACAAAAAAACCCCACAAATGATGAGGATATGGCTTCAGCCTGTCTTAAGAACAGACATTACTTCAGCTTTAAAGCAGTTATGCATCAGTTATGTCAGGGTCAGTCACATCTTCCAATCTTAACTTCAGAAGTTGGTCCAAAGAATTATTCTTGTGAACCTTGTATCTGTTTTTCTGAATTCTCTACGGGGTATTATAATCTCTGATAGCACTCTACCAGTTACAAAGCTGAGCTAATTTGGGAATTTCATAATACCCTGGAAATCTTATAGTCACATCTATGCACGGCAACTCTGAGATAAGCAAAGACATGAAAAATCCCAAAGCATTCCCTTTTTGATCCCAGCATTCATGATAATATGGCATGGCTACTGCCAAGCCATTTGGCTGCTGGCTTACAATTGGTATCTTTAATTCTTCTCAAATAATAAGTCACATATTAGTTTTAAGTAACATTAATTTCCAAAGATATGTTACTTTCTACAATTTCAAAAAACTGTTGCTCAACTAGAATGTTATAACGTTCAAAAGGAAAGGAAAGGAAGAAATATGCTATTTTCCTGCCCATTTGGTAAGCTGCACAGTTGGGAGCACATGGATCACTGCAGTCTATTTAGGGTCAGTGTGACAATCCCACTATCCAGGTGCTGAGTACAGAGAGAGGGAGTGTAAATTGGAGAAACTGCACTTTGAAAATTTGATTTTTATAAACACCAAGCCATACAGCCAGTGCAAACAGCAAGGAAACAGCAAACAGCTGTCACAGCACTGGAGTTTGTTTTAGATAAAGATTTTATCTTTCCCGGCAAAAGCATGGTATGTGTGAGAGAAGTTTCTCTTTTTCAACATATTATCTCCCAGAGGTCAAACAGGAGGAAGATTGGGAGGAAAAACTGTAGAGCTATTCAAACGTGTCTGCAACTCCATTTTTAACCACACCAGCATGATTCCAGAAATAGGATCAGCCAGTTAACAAGCCCAGTTTCACTGCTGCTGTTAGCATAGTTTAGAATTATAATCCTACTCAGCTGCATGAGTTTTCATCCTGGTCAGAGCTGTTTTTCAGATTGAGTACAGAATCACAATGCTAACTGTGACATGTTGAAAGTATCCTCTCTACTCCAGCATGCAACTCACACATGTAAATACTGTTTCAGTCAGCTACAGCAGACCTAAGCAAGAAAGCTGAGCTGGATCTATGAGATGCTGCCCGTAGAAAGGCAAAATATCAATAGAATTAATTTTGCAATTGACAATAGTATTGTTTTTGTTTCATTCTGTCCTGGCCACCTGCATTATGATCACCCTTCTTAGGTTGATTAAAAGCATCCAGAAACAGTGTTTGTTGCTAACATTTAGTCATATAATACAGCATAAAAAAATACTAAGAGCCACAGAAGAAACTAGATTTCCCCAGCTGTTAATGCAGTTAAGCTTGGTTAGAAGGTCTCTGTCAATACACACTCATACATACTTACACATACACGAAGAGATGTCTAATCCAATCCATCATCTACAGAGCTTATCATCACTACAATACTTTATCTACTATGGTGCCGCGGTCGGGATGGAAAAAGCGTCAAGTGTTGGCATAGCACAAAAAGCCTTTATTGTTTTTCTTCGTTATTTATTTTCCCTCTTTCTCCCCAGATGTGTCGTCTTCTCATTGGTTCAAAGTTACTATGTTTCTTTTTATTGGATAATATTTTCACAGTTCATCACAACTCAGCACTTCTGCCAAAGGAACACATACCTCTCAGTCTGCTGTCAGCGCTTTCGACAAACTTGTTTACCTTGTGGCTCTTCTTGTTCCTGTTTATTCTCTCAAGGGTAGACTGGAATCTTCTCAAGGTCAAAGTCACTCTGTCCAAGGGCCTCTGTCCAGCTGAGGTCCCCCACACTATGGTCTTAATTTGGTGGTCATGCATGAACGTAGTGATAAATTTCCACTTTTCTCTTTTCATCAGGGCATCCAGCACCAAAAAAACAAACAAAAACAACAAGAAACCCCACAAAACAAAACAATCAAAACCAAACAGCAACAAACTCCTATAGCAGGAACCTGCTATCAATCAAAAACTAATTTTAACTATTTTACAGCAGTGGCAGTCAACAGCCTAAAATAGTTTTGATAACATTAAATCAACAAGAACAAACTTACACTAAAAAAATATACACTGCAAACTCCACAAAATTGTTTCTGCCAAAATCAACATATAGACTGTAAAGTCACACCTGCAGAATCACAAAGTCAAGGATGGAAAGAACTAAGACTACATTAGCCACTGTCTAAACATACCTCAAGGCTATACTGCCCTCAATAGTTACGTTTCATTTATTAAACCAGATTTTCCTCAAGTTTTACAAGTATCTATATATTTTGAATAAGTAGAAATGTAATTCAGTTCTTGAAGTTGATGTTTACTCTTGAAGTTGATGTTTACTACATGTTTTCTCTGTTGCATTTGCTGACTTTCAACCAAATTTTACTTGGCATAGACACTCTACTTAAAAATAAGGAGAAGTTATGCACAATACAACTAGCAAAATCGTCCATTTTTGCATTTATCTTTCAGTCGAATTCAGAGACCTTTCAAGAAAAACACACCTATGACTTGCATACAAAGATAAGAAAAGGAAAAAGGGAAACTGGAGGTAATTTACAGGTGACTTTTATGAATAACCTTTGAATATATCTGGTGTTTTAACACAAGCCTTAGAAAGCAATTGCCAGCTGTCTTAAAAAGCAAAACCAAGCCTCCCTTCCTACCCACTCCCACAGCAAAACTGTTTCTGTCATAGTGAAAGTTGTAAACTCTAATTAGGCCCTGGGTACCTCTATGAAACATTTTGCTAAAGATGTATGGTGAAAGTAATGGAAGCTACACACATATCAAGACACCAATAGAAAACTCTAAAAGAATTTTAAGATGCTCAGTGTTAGTGTCATGCACAACATTTTCAACTGGAATTGAAACTGCAAATACAACATTTTTATCCTGAACTTGGAAGTATTTTGTAACATGCAAACAGAAGACACAAAAGTAATTTAGCATCCTTTATTCCGCTTAATATTGAGACTCACTTCACACTTCATGTTAATCCTTATCTATTTCTCAAGCACTAGACGGTCGTGTCTTCATACTGCGCTCAGATCTTTTATTTTTTTCAAGTTATTCATCTAATAAAAAATGGGTTAAACTTTATCCTTTTCATGGATATTTACAAACCCAAAACTTGTTGGCCAGGGCATATAAAAACGCTCTCAAATCTGAAACAAATGAATTAGCAACATCAAGATGACAAACCATCTCTGTCAGCTCCTAAAAATTGACACTGTCCTCCCTCATGAGTTCTGACTCACAACCTGCAGTGAATGTATCTGATATGCTAGTGCAGCAGAGATGTCCCTTCTGCTCTAATGCTGTAGTTCACTGCTGTGGCTATAGGACAACAGAGCATTACGTATCTTAAATTTAAAGCTTAAATTTAAAGCTTAAATTTAAAGCTTAAATTTAAAGCTTAAATTTAAAGCTTAAATTTAAAGCTTAAATTTAAAGCTTAAATTTAAAGATGTCATGTCTAAGTTCTTTGATCATGAACCTCTTTTGGGCAGAGAAATCCACTTTATTCTATGTTTGCAAAGCTCTAAGTACAATAGGCTCTAATCTGTGACAGACTCCTCAGCAATACTGATGTGTAATAATTAGTTACCTGCTAGTCATCACTGTGTCCACAGGTCTGTTTTGCTACTAATGCCTTTCAAGCAGCTAGAGAGCACATCTAGTACAACTGGAATCATAGAATGGTTTCAGTTGGAAAAGGCCTTTAAGATCATCCAGTCTAGTCATCAATCCAGCCCTAAGTCTGACACTAGACCATGTCCCTAAGCATGACATTTACCCAATCTTTTAAACATCTCCAGGGATGGCAACTCAACCACCTCTCGGGGCAGCCTGTTCCAATGCTTTACAACCCTTTCTGTAAAGGATTTCCTCCTAATATCCAATCCAACCCTCCTCTGACGCAACTTGAGGCCAATACCCCTTGTCACATCACTAGTTACCAGGGAGAAGAGACTGATGCCCACCTTGCTACAGCCTCCCTTCAGGCAGCTGTAGAGGGCAATATGGTCTCCCCTCAGTCTGCTCTTCTCCAGACTAAACGATCCCAGCCCTCTCAGTCGCTCTTCACAAGACTTTTGCTCCAGATCCCTCACCAGCTTCGCTGCCCCCTTCTCTGGAAACGCTCTACCATTTCAATGTCCTTTTTGTAGAGAGGGGCCCACAACTGAACACAGGATTCAAGGTGCAGCCTTATCAGTGCCCAGTACAGGGGAAGAATCACTTCCCTGGTCCTGCTAGCCACACTATTCCTGATGCAGGTCAGGATGCTACTGGCCATCTTGGCCTCCTGGGCTCACTGCTGGCTGATACGCAGCTGGCTATCAACACCCCCAGGTCCTTCTCCTCCAGGCTGCTCTTCAGACACTCTTCCCTAAGCCTGTAGTCAGAGTGCTCTTCCAATGCCAACTCAAAATCTAGTTTGCAAGAAAGATTTCTATTGCAAAAGTAATTAAGCCTACCATGAAATACT